GACACTGTTGTATCTGGTGGGGTGATGCCTCCAAGGAGAGGGGCCAAGAGTCCCCTGTAATGACCATCTGCCTCTCCTCAGGTCCTTGCCCTCACTCCAACAAAGAATGAAGAAGTGGAGCTCTTAGCTTAAAATGGGGCAGGGTGTCAAGACAGTGCAGAGCAAAGGTTTATTTAAAGTGTGGCAAAGAGAAAGCAGAAGAGAATCGAGCTTGGCAGCAGAGTGCTGTTACAAGACACTTGGAATGCCCAGTGACTATGAAGTGTGGCCGTACTTACGGGACAGACTGTTTTGCTGATAGGTATGGGCTAGTCCAATCAGGGTTTTAGCCTTTGTTTCTGGACAGGGGTCAAGGTCAGCTGGGGATGTCTTAGGCACAGTACATTTTTTTCAAGCACTGGTACATAGATAAGCATGAGTTGATTCTATCCTCCTTAGCCATCTCAATCTTGCCTTAAGTTTTTTATGTCTCTCTAATCTGCCCTTACAACATATTTTTGATAACAGTGGTCCTTTGATGGGTGGTATCCTCCCACCCTGTCACATATTTTTTAGGTTTTCAGTTTGGAGATACTATCTTTCAGCATCTCAGATTTCTCCTCCAATTTAAGTGTTTTGTCCAAAATGGACGTCCTCATCTTTAGTTTTGTGTATATGTGTGTGTGTTTGTTTGGTTGTTTTTTTGTAACAGGGTCTCACTACATAGTTCAAGGTTTACCTTGAACTCGAAGCTATCCTGCTTCAGCATCTTGAGTGCTGGGATATTAGGTGTGTGGCACAATACCTGGCTTCCTCATCTTTTAGTGGCAAACGTTGAGAAGCTGTATGTATCTGAGCATATTTTTGTTTTGTTCTCACATTTGGATGTGAGTTCAGCTGAACATAAAATTCTAGATTTGAAGTTCTTTTTCAGTAGATTACAAATACCATTCCAGTGTGTCCTTAAACTCTATGTTATTCTGATTCTTATTTCTTAGAAAGGAATCTCTTTTGTCTTTTTGAAAGGTTTTCATGTCTTTTGGTTGAATTTAGTAATTCTTTGAGATGTGATTTTTTATTTTGTTTTTATTTTTGTTTTCCCTGGGACAGATGTTAATCTTGATTATCAGTTGATCTGCCTTAAGAGATAGCTGGGAAATGAGTAGCACAGTTCCAGGTGTGTCTGGTTAGATGCCCTGGTGTGACCTTGGGGAGTGTGTCTGTTCCCAGCCCCTTCCTCTCTGACTCATCCGTGCTTTTCTAGCTGTGATGAGTTTGGCAGCTTTTCTTGCCCATGGCCTTTTGCTCATGACGCTGCTTCAGAGCCAGCCAGTCATCAACTACAACTGTGAGCTAGAATAACCCTTCTCCTTGAAGTTGTGTACGACTGGCTTTTAGAGCATCAAAGATGCTGACATGGAATCTCACTGTGTTGGCCAGGCTGCCATTGAGCTCAGGCTCACACAATCCCCCTGCCTCAGCCTCCTGAGTAAGTGGGACCACAGAAATGCCTCTATATCTAGCTGTCTTTATTATTCCTAAAGTTAATCGCTATGATGTTCCTAATTTACAGATGTTGTTAATCTATAAAATGGTCACTGATTCCTAATAAAATATTGTGACAGTTAAACAATCTGAGTAAAGCATATAAAACAAATGCCAAATAGTAAAGATAAGTACCAGTTACTTTTTGCATTATTAAAATTACTTATTCTAGTTTTGTGAATTTTTGAGCCATTTTTATTACTTCTGCTTTTGCCCAGTCTTTCTTTTCTTTGTCCAATAATGTCATTCAGAGGACAAAACCAAAGGAAACATCTTAGCAATTGTGGTGCAAGAGAAGAGTGGTGTTATCAGCAGAAGTGAGATTACAGACTTCAGTGACTGATTTATCCATGCTATACTTGTTCTAATAACCGTAGCATCAATATGCATAGTTGTGTGATGTCTTTGTTTAATTTCCTATCTAAGAGAAGTTTGTATTTCCAGTTCTTATAACAGTATTTGTTTCTTAGTCCATAATCAAGTTACTTTTTTATAAATTTATAATTCTCTTTCTGCTCATTCCAAATCTGTTTGTCTTGACGACTTTTTGTTGTTGCTGTTGTCTTTTGACAACACTGTACAGTTCACTGCACAGTTCAGGCTGGCCTTGGACTCACTTTGATGAGTTGGCCCAAGTTGCCCTTCAACTCACCATGATCCTCCTGCCTCAACCTCCCATGCACCACTGTGTCTGGCCCTGTCTTGACTGTTTTATCCCCTAGTTTTAGATAGCTTACTGTCTCTTTTGGGGTGGGTACTACAAAGACCCAGGTTCTGTTGTCCTCTAAACAATGTGTAGCTCTGCTCCTGCAGGAGGACCTGGTGACCTTATAGAGCCCGAGGTTGCAGGACTGATCTCTTTCCCTTTGCTCTTAATTCCAAGCTGTGGCCCGTAATCCTGTGATATAACTTGTAACTAAGGCATGCTCCCTCAGGGTGACCCTGGAGAGACCCAAGTTTTATCAAGCCGTCTAATTTGTCTGGACTTGACCTCCTCCCTGTCTTCTTAGTGGTGAGAGTACTGAGCCTGAGGTGTGCTCCACTGGGATCATGTCATGTTCTGCATGTCTCGCACGTCAGCCAAGGACTGGGGGAAATGCATGCAGAATGTGGCTCCTTCCTTTAGTTATGCACTGCGACTTCCTGGTAGTCTTGGCTGCGGATCTCTGACTCCTGAGCCGAGTGAGCCTGCTGCTCCCGAGCTCTGTGCCCTTGTGCTGTGTGGCTCATCTAGAGTGGGCCCCTCATGTTCAGTGTCATAGCCCTTCTAGTTTCTGCATTTACTTCTAGTTTCTACATTTATTTCTTCATTGGCATTTCCATTTTTAAAAAATCTTCTCCACAGTTTTTCATTGTTATTGGCAAAAGGATTAGTTGGATACAAACGAGTTTGTCATTACTGGAATGCAGAAATCCCAGTCAGTATGGACATTGTGAGTGAAAAGACACAGCAAAGCTGCCTGGTTTGCATATGACTCATAATTAGACCCAGAAATGCATTATCTGCAGATTACAGTCAGCCACCAAGAGATCTTAACATAAAACTAACATCAGAGCCATGTGTGTCTATACTGGCTCTGAGGTCACAGAGGTTCCTAGAAGCGATCCCAGCAGGATCTTCTCAGAACAAAACTACCAGCTGGCCAGAGGAAACGCTAAGGCAGAGGCCCATGGTAGAAGGACTGCTGTGTATCCTCAGGAAAACATGGCCCTTGTGTTTATTCCTTTTGCTCTTTGAATAATAAAACAGCAGCTACTGCAACCATAAACAAAAACATAACTTCCCCTCTGCTGGCAGAGCTAGGCCTTACTTCTTACAGCAGTGAGCACAGCTGGGCAGTTGTACACACAGGTACTGGGGCTAGCTCCACTCTGCCTTACCCTGGCTGCAGAGGGGAGGAGCCACTGGCAAAATAGATGTGCATAGCCATGTCTTACCTTTCTGCTTCTGGACCTTTATGTTCCTCTTTGTCTCTCTCACCCTCTTAGCACACTGCTGTCTATACCCTGCCAATTGTCCCACCCTCATAAATTAGTCACTGCCAACCAGGTTTGGTGGCAAATGCCAGCACTATAGGGGGCAAAGGCAGAAAGTAGCAACTTTGAGCCCAGACTGGGTGACTTACTGACTTAATGAGACCCTATCTTAGAAGCCTGGTGAGGTGAGAGTGAAGAGGATGATATAGAGTTCGGTATGAAGGCCTAGGATCAGCCCAAAATGGAAACACATGGCCAGTTCACTTCCGTTTCTTTCCTGATTGTGGCCTTGTCTTCATCCTCATCTCCTCTCCTGGATATACTGGTTACTGTTCACCAGCAGTATTTTTTTTTTTTTTTTTTTTGCCTTTTTCCTTTTTATCGGTACCGGGGATTGAACTCATGACTGCCTGCTTGCAAGGCAGGCGCTCATGCCGCTGAGCTAAATCCCCAGCCCCATCACCAGCAGTATTTAAACATGTATTTTTTAAATATCTCAAAGACTCCATTGCATATTCTAAACATTGCAAGTAGAAAATGACCTGTGAAACATACTTTGGCCGTGCTGTCCAAACCCCTACTAGAGTATGAGTTGTCTCCTCTTGTGGTTGGGTGGTTTACTGGGAGCTGCAGCTGACTGTATTATAAGTCACTATTGAACTTAGTATCACTAGGCTGAAAAGAGTTCGGAATTCAAGCATAGTTTCTACTGAGTTTGTTGCCTTCACACCACTGCAGAGTTGAATAATTATAAGTTGAACCATTGTTAAGTCTGGGTTCATCTGTATTTGTTGTGTACCTTCTGCTATTGTTGAAGGGTGTACTTGTTCTTAATTTTCAGCCTAGATGAATCAAGATTTCATGTGCTTCTGCTAAAAGCATGTGGTTGCCATTTTATGCAAGGTTGCCAATTGATTCTGCCCCACCAGTGGCCTTGACAGGAGAAAAAAAGGTGGTTCCTGCCTTCTGTCATTACACTCGAATTAAATGAAGCTTGCTGCTTCTCCTGTAGCTCTTGAGAATGGATTTGTCTGCAGATGTGAACTCTCTCGATTCCCACTCCTTTGGTTCATGATGATTATGTGATATGATTGAATTTGTCTTTCTTTGTCTTCTGCAGTCTGTTCTATGTGCCTTCTGATTATTCTCCTTAGCTTGCTTTCTAAAGAAGGAAATGAAATTCCAGTCCACTCCAGCAGTAGTTAGTGTAGACGCGTCCATTTCCATCTCAGTGGCTCTTCAGAGCTGCTCTCTGGGGAAAGCTGCACGCCAGCTCTTTCTCTCCACTGACAGCTCCAATTGTGACTCAGGAGTCTGGCACCTGTGACAGATTGGCAATGGGAGTTTCTTCTCAAGTCTGAACACTCCAGATTTAATGACACCTGGGTTTACTTGGTTAGCATGAGAGTTCCCATCCCCCTATTCCACTTTTCTGCTGGACAGTCACATTTTCCTTACTGTTCCATTCCTGCCATTCACGCTCTTTCCTTTCTCTGCAGGTTTTGTATGCAGAAATGTGTTAGTCTGGTGCCTGGAGTCACACTGGATTTGATAGAAAAGTAAGTAAAATTGTGAAACCCTTGTGGCTTTCCAGATCTAAAGATTTCTTTTCCTTTTCTCACTCTTGGTTCTCAGCAGTGCTTTCTGTCAAAGTGGGGACATTCCCTTTCATGAGGCTGTTCTTTTGTTCTCTGATTAAGGTTATTTTGTGCTGGTTACATTAGTGCTTAGGTGCAGCTAAATGTGGGGCTGTATTAAAAGAATAACAAAAAGCTGAGTTCTTTTGAACATTCTAGACTCTTAAGCCAAGCCCATGCACAGCACTACAGATGCAGACCATCGCTGTTTTCCTTGGCTGAAACAACCACCTCCTAGTGACACTTTGTATTTCCTCAAACTTGAACTTACTCTTAAGTGATTTGTAACTTCCACTCATCCCCAGCACTAGATGTTTTACTATCTGAGGTCAAGAAGTTCCAGAAGCTACCCCCACCCCGGGCATCCATGCTCACTGAGCACAGTGTCTGTATCTTTTTGGGTTTGAGATGGCATTGCTGACTCTAATCTTGTTTAGGCTTATTTGTTTATATGTACATTTGACTCCTTGACTCATCTTGATGCATCTCAACAGTGTGGAAAAACCTAGTTATGTGAAACTTTGTGCTTTGAATTCGTGTCCTGTAGAATTAACATAGGACATGATTATTTTCCAAGTCCTGATGCACAGAATCATATGTTAAACTAGTCAAGGTATGAATTTACTGTAGAAAGTTAGATGAGCGAAGAGCATCTACTGAGGTTCTCCGTAGAACAGAACTTGTGTGTAAGGAGAACTGTACAGGAGTGTTTCATCAGGGTGATCAGTCATGGTACACGCTCACAGTGAAGCACCCACAGCACCACCAGTTGGAAGAACACTGGCCACAATGTGTGCTATCCCAGCTTTTGGCCACTTGTCACGCCAATCCACATGCAGGACAGTGTCCCAACCTCATTGTCACAGTCATGATTACTGCAAGCCGGATTCTGCTTTTGTTTATTAAGTTGGTTAGTCAGACCCTCATATTTTACTGAAAAGGACCTGTCCCTTGTTTTAGTTTAGAATTTCCAGCACCCAACTTTAGTCTTCCTACAACCCCAGACTCTTTCCACAATCAAGACCTTGGTCTTAGGACAGCTAGCTGCCATCCCAGTCTTTCTCAGACATATACCAGGCCCAGCAACACAGTCTTCAAAGCTTAATCCACACAAGGAGGAACTGGCAGCTTTATCTAAGCATTCACTCTCTCAAAGACACAGCTAATAAGATGTAAAGATAAGCTACAGATGATGAGGAAATAATATTTGCAAGTCACAAATCTGACAAAGAATACTTGTAGCTAGAATATATGTGAAAATATCTAGAACTCAAAAACTAAAGCTCAACTAAAAACTAGATAAAAGTTATGGAGAGACACTTTCCAAAGGAGGATGTAGGTTGGCAAATAAACATCTGAAGGGATGCTCAAACTCACTAACCATTGGGCAAGTGGAAATTAAGATAACTGCATACCTGTAAAATGGCTAACTTTAGGACTGACGGTGCACAGTGCTGGGAAGGCTGAGCAACACTGGAACTGCTGCACGCCCCTAGGAAGGCGTGGTAAACAGCCACACGGGAAGATTGGCAGTTGCTTTTTCATTTAAGTGTGCATATCCTGCTTCCCAGCAGCCCTACTCCTGGGTATATACCCTACAGGAATGCAAACTTAGGTGCACAGGCAAATCTCTGATTCGTTGTCGTTCTAGTCATCACCACCCAGACCAGAAAAAACAAACATCTCTTCTCCACAGAGATTGCAAATGAATAACAAAACTGTTTGATGCATAACTGGGATATGCAGTCCAATTTATCCCAGAAGTCCTAAAGGGAGGAGCACAAGCCAATTTCCAAGGGTGACTGTTCCTCAGCTTTCCCTCTCTGTAACAGAATGCCTGAGAATAGCAACTCAAAGGAGAAAGAGGTTATTTAAGCTCACAGTTTCAGAAGTTTCCGTCCATGGTTACTTGGCTTTGTTGCTTCTAGGCCCATGGTGAGGCAAAATATGGCAGAGAGCACGTGGCAGGGCAAAGCTGCTCGTGGTGGTAATCAGAAAGCAGAGAGACAGCAAGGGGCCAGAAGGTACGCCCTTCACAGACAGACCCCACCTGGCCCCGTTTCCTAGCAGCCTTCAGCCATGAACTCATCGGTGAAGCCAGCAGCCTCTACCACTAGCCTCTGAGCATTGTGGCATTAGGAATCAAGCCTTCAACTCTTGAGTCTTTGGAAAACATTTTGAATTTAAACCACAGCAGCAATCTGTGGTCCAGTATCATTTCTGTGACATTCTGGAAAAGACAGAACTGTGAGGTCAGAGAGCAGGAATGTGGCAGGTGTGACTTGAGGGGTTACTGGGGGAAGGCATACGATCCATGGCTCACAGAGCTCTGCATATGTTAAAGCTATGGAACTTAGCCAAACTAGTCAGTTGGCTGTGGTAACTGAAAAAAAAATAAATAAATAATGTAGGGAGCAAATTTGTAAGAGAGTGTAGGTTCTTCCTCCTTTTTCCTGTGCCCAAGTGGTGCCACAAACATGACTGAATGTTAAAAGTTTGACCTTTTTTAGTATAAAAAAGGTAAACATAATAAATTGTCATTAATAGTAGACAGTTTCAAAATGTACCCCAGTCGGGGAGAGGATGTGTTTGAAGAATGAGGACCCTGGAGTCAGAATGGCTCAGGTCCTGCCCTCGTGATCCCCTGATGAGCTCATGTTTAACTCTGCTCTCGGGCCACAAGAGCAGCCCCAAACAGGTCTGTTGCACGTCCCCTTCCCCACAGTCATGTCCTCACTCTCCACACTTTGCAGACACTACACTGCACAACTTGTAGTATAACCTTATAGTTCTGAAGCCCTTTAGATTTCAGGTAAAACCAGAGGAGGAGCATGGTCCTCATATCCATACCTGTTCCCTGCACTGGCAGATGAGTGTCACCACATTACTTTTGGAAAATTACATATCCATGTTCAGTTGTGAAAGGAAGAAGCAGTAATTCTGGTTTCAGAGAGGCTTTTATCTTAAAAAGATTATTGTCAAGAGTAACCTATTTAACAAACTGTTTCTGAACTTCAGTCTTCACTGCGAATAACCTTTCCGGTTGTGTGGGTCTGAGTCACTATCCTCTGAATACAGTTCAGCCAGAGGACCCACTGTTGTAGTTAAATTCATTTGAAAGACATACAAATCAGCATTTGCAGTTTGAAGTACCATATTGCTACTCTCCCTTGTGGCTTGACAAAGGTTAAATTGGATGTGAGTGGTTGAATTACATTTATCATTTTATGCCAGGACAAATTTCAAACTTGAGAATTATACCACACTAGTAGAAACCCCGGAGGCCACCCAGCCACAACTGCTAGCTCAGTTTCTGAGAAGATACATGCTTTTCTCTTTTACAGCTCACCTGAGAGATGACTCCACTTAAAGGAAAAGGCTATGGTTGCATTATTATAAACTTACAGAATTTTTACCCATTTATGTTTAAAGTCTCATAAGAAGAAAGTTTCTTAGCAAGTTTACTATGATTTTGCAGGGGAAAACTGGGCTCCAAATGTAGCATGTCTGTTTGATAGGGTCAACTGATTATGGTTTTTGTAGTCAGAAAACACTCCCTAAAAAACTCCTCATTATTTTTACTTTTCAGAGTGTGTTCGCTTGGGTCTGGGGTACTTAGAAGCTTGCAGCCTGCTGGATAGTGCTTAACTGTCAACTTCTCCATTCCCTACCTTGGGGCCTCTACCTCCCGTTCTGCACTCAGAGCACCATCAGGGCATGTCGACCCTGCGATGCTGACTTACTCATCAGAGCCCACAGACTCGCTCAGAGAGTTGCCATGTACTGTTGTTTCAAATCAAACATATTTTTGACCTCTGCAGCTCCACAGATTATTTATGTAATTGCTGCTCTCCAGGTGGCTGAGCCTCAAGTCACCCTTTGTTACACATTTGTGCCTTCTGTTCATCTAGGTTTCCTGCCTCTGTACAGGTCTCCCTGTCCGCCTGCCCCTGGAGAGGAGATGACTGAACACTTTGATTCTAGTGGTGCTTTTGTGTGTTTTAGAGGCTTTACCTACAGCGTCAATGCACCCCTCCACAGTCATGGGTTTCTCTGATGTACTCACCTCTGCTACAAATGCAGACAAAGCTGAATTGTCCACAGCTGTGTACCTGAAATCAACAGAGCAGACCTAGCCTTTTGTTTTGTGTCCTTGTATTTTAATTCAAATACAAGTTTAAATTCTGTATTCATCTTATTTTCTTGTCAGTAACACAGTACTGCTGACTAGATAAGTTATAAAGATAAGAGGTTTATTTGGCTTATGATTCTGGAGATGCAAGCTTGGCAGTGAATTTGGTGGCAGGGTCCCACGGTGATGCAGAGCAATCCATGGCTGGAGATGGAGAACATGAGGATATAAGCATGTAACTCTCCCTCTTCTCATAAAAGCACCAAGGTTTAATCATGGAACCCCACCTACTTTATCTGATTCCTGACACACCACAATTGTACTGAGTTTCTACCCCCTTAATACCTCACAGTGAGGATTAGGTTCCAACCCAGAAAGCCCATGGGGACACACTCAAACGGCACCCAAACCACAGACATCCTTTCACCAAGATGTGAACAAGGACAGGAAATGGAACCCAAAAGATGGTGGGTAGGCAGAAACATGAGCCTCCTCATATGGTCAAGCTACAGCTAGCTACCCTCTGCAGCTGCACCTGGGTGCAGTGGTTCAGATAGAAATATTTGTACGTGGTCATTGTGGAAGCCACAGCCAACTGGGCTCCCATGTACAATGTCCACATCTCCATCCTGCTTGCATCCCATCTCCCAACTGTACAGGCCTGTGGGTCCTACCTTATCCTGGGGTTCTGGGGCCACTGCACTGAGAATGAGTCTCCTCAGCACACTCCAGCAGCATGTGCTCCTAGATGACAGTCCTCCTTGACACAGAGGCCTAGGGATCCTTTTCT